AAATAACAAGACTTGAAGTTTTTTAAAAATACAAAAGAAAAAAAAAAAACAAACAGAAAACGATCCATGAGCACAAACAAAACAGTTTCAATTTGTAAAACTCCATGTCCTCTATATGGAGCAAGGTGTCTGGCGATTTATGTATTTTCTACTATAGTAACTATTTAAATTATTTAAAACTATGTTACAAAAATAAAGGGAACTACCATCTTTTCCTGGGTTGTATAAATTAACATTATAATAATATTAAAACTGCCTATTCCTATTTATAGAATTCAGCTTTTCCTCAGCATTGTGAAACAATCTGAATATCAATTTTCTTATTACTCTAGTTCTAGTCCTACAAACATACACATTATGAATGCTTAAGAGGCAGATAATCATATAATGTATTTAGAAACTGTGTTGTTTCACAATTTCTTGGTAAAAAAATCATAAAAACATTTTTAAGCTACTATATTTTCTCCTATAATCATCACTCAGATAAAATGCATGAAATACTGAATGCTCAGTTATGTCACCTCTAGTCCAAATGCCCATAGCATTTGCAGTTTTCCATAAACAATATGCCTCTATACTAAATACACACTCCTTGAGCCATCAACTACTTAATGTTTCAAAATATAGTTCAAAATGCAGTTTTAACATCGTCTTGCACACGCACACACACACACACACACACGAAGTGTGCAGAAAAAGGAGGAGGTAGAGAGCAGAGGAAGAAATGGAGCATGTTGTTGTTTTTCATTCATGCAGTATAGTGATGTCAGTGTCTGCAGCAGCAGTGGCAGCAGCAGGAGCCTTGACCAGTGGAGGCTAAAAACCAATCAAGTCAGAATCTTACAGCATTCAAAAGAAACTGAGAAGATAACCATTTGAAAAATTAAATCAACTCTTCAGATAATGGATTTTAACTAGCTAAGGAAACAGAATAGATTATAGTAGGATAGTTTTAATTTGGGTAGGGAGGGAAAAGGCGGACAGGGAGAAGTAACATAGGAGTGATATAACCAGGGAACTGGGGGCACAGGAGCCCGCATTCAAAAATCACTTCAATATAAGAAATTGACAAAACCACCGGGTGTTTAAAACAGTAGAAAAATATCTTTAGCAAAGAAAGCCCTTCCATTCCCAACACAAGCTCTCTGACACTGCAAATCTGTCTGCTCCACAACCAGACTCAGAAAAGTGTTTTCATCATGATTGCATTAAAATTGCATTGAACTCGGATGTGCCATACTACAACAAAGAGAATAGCTTAAGCCAGATCACAAATTTCATTAAAACTGCTTGATGATGGAGCATGTAATTCCTAAGCAGTTAAGTCTTTTGAAGGATGCAGAAAAACAACTTGTATTATTATCTGTTGTAAGATGTTAGTGTTTATATACGAAAGGGGAGGAGGTACTACATGGCCATTATGTTGTTGCAGCAATTACCGAAACTTCTCTTACTTACCCACGAGACCCTCTATACACAAGCTGCAATGCTTATTTTATGCCTCTTAGTCCCTACAAGAAAATCCCAAAACTTAATTTGTTCACTGTTGGAGCAAAATCACTAAAAAATTTATGTAACTGTTTTCTGTTCGTTCTGTTACTTCTCATTTCGTATAGCTCTAGAAAATGTGCAAGGGAGTTGCATATGGCATTAATCTGTTAGAAAATGGTGGCCTTTTCTATAAAATACAGCCAAAGACGTGTGTTCAGTTGTGGTCATTATTAGGGCGATCACGTTGTTTTCATTCATTCATTCAGGATTTGCTATCAGTTTCTGCAGCAGCTGGCTTGACCTGGGGGAGGAGTGGGGGAGCATATTCCTCCCAGTGCATACAGATTACAGGATGTATTTCTTAGTGCTCATGTACTCATCCCACTTCACTACATCCTACCCTGGTTCACCATGAGGTGGTCAGAAAACAAGTGCGTTAGTAACATGCTAATTACAGGTCTGAAATATTAAAACAAAAACACCAAGACTGCAATGTATCATAATGCAGACAACCACTTTCTCCAACTCTAATACCTTCATTAAAAAAACTCCATTTAAAAAAATCCACATACCACATAAACAATGTACAGACTTTGACAGTGTTTCCCTTCCAAGCAGAGATTTTTCCACCCGGTATAATCTGTTCCCTCCACAATGCAGCAGCAGCAGCATCTGTAGGCTCTAGGCTGGTATCTAATAATATTAGCTATTCCACTCTCCCTTATGAGCTTTAAGTCCCTGTTTTGGCTAATCTTCCTTTTCTCCCCCAGGGATCAACTAGATCATGCACTGTGTCCCTAGACATAAACAAAACCAAAGCAAAACAGAAAACGCTAACGAAAACCCACAGCATCCACCAGCTTACCATTACCTTTGACACCTAACAAAAAAGAAACTTGAGATCCTGAACTGTTAAGTGTACTTAAAAACGGAAGGAAAAAACAAACACATTCAACAAATAAGTTTTCAGAAATTCATCCATGAAAATCTCTGGTTGAGCATAAACTGTTTCTAGTGCAGGAGTGCTCTGATGCATGAATATATTAAGGGGAGGGGAGAGAGAGGCAGAGAGGGAGAGAAGTGGGGGTCGGAGCAGGGGGAAGAGAGGGAGGAACGGAGGGAGAGAGAGAACTGGGGGAAAAATTGTATATACTTCAATTGCACATTCAAAACTGTCCCCTCTAGTACATATCATTACATCTAGCCGATATCCTTACATCATAACTAATACCACCATCCCTCTAAAAAATAAAAAAATTATCACTGTAGTTATAGGCACGTTAGGAACTTTGCAGGAAAGCACAAAGAGACTGTAGAGATTACAACCACCACCTTATCCGCTGCTGGAGAGTTTGTGAGCATGTTTAAGTGTTTCGCCCAGCTCCTCCTTCCCCGGCTACAAACAGCAAACACACGAATGAGCTAGCCAGCTTTTAAAGTGAAAAACCTTTCGAAACAGGCGAGTGATGGAAGAGAAAATCTGAGGGGCGGCATGAGGGTCAAATAAAAGTTGCTTTTCAGTTCGCTCCTTTAAGCCCCGCAGCGACCGCAGGGGGTGGGGGTGAGATTCCCAAAGCCACTTTCACACCTTCGATAATGCACTAGTAAAGAGAAGCCCGAAGAGGCTGAAGTTTCCACGGAGGGCACCGTCGGGGAGACGCAGCCCGGGAGGACGGGAGGGTTGGGCTCGCTACCTCTGCACACAGGCGAGCCGGGGCTCCGTCTCTCAGGTGAGCTGCTCCTCCGGTGACTCTCTGGGGACCGTCTCGGGCGGCCCTTGGCCCGTGGTGTCTGCTCGGCCGTGGCTGCAGCCGGCGGCGGCGTCGGGCTGGAGGGGCTGGGGCCGCGGGCCGCGCCGGGCCCTGGGAGGCTGCCCAGCGAGGCGGCGGCAGCGGCGGCAGGCGGGCGCGTGGGACTGTGCTGGCTGCCCCGCAGGAGCTGGTAGGGCACCGTGGCGCGGATGGGCTGCAGCAGCCGGCCGGCTCCGGCAGCCGGGGCGCAGCCCACGCCGCCGCCAACCGCACCGTTCCCGCTCCCGGCGGCAGCGACGGCGGGCGGAGACCCCGCGGCGCTGCGCCGCATCCTCTGCGGCGGGGGATGAGGGGTCTGAGAGGAACTGGAGGAGGAGGAGGAGGAGGCAGTGGACATGGTGGCTCCGCGGGCCCTGGACGCCGTCGGCCGACACGGAGAAGCGGGGCGGGAGGCGCTCGAGCGTGTGGGAGCCGGCGCGATAGTGCGTGCGAGTGTGTAAGGGGGAGGGGCGGGAGTATCACGGAGAGGGAGGAGTCTCGGAGCTCCCCCTCCCCAACGCACACCCCCGCCGCCTCAGCGAGGGGGGAGGGGAAGGCTGCGAAAACAAACGTCCAACGGCCCCAGCGTCCAACGGCCCCAACCGCCCGGCTGGGCTCAGCGTGGCGGTCACGGCCGGGGCTGCGAGGAGCCAGGAGCCGCCTCCACCACCGCTCCAGGCATCGCGCTGACAGGGCAACCGCCCGGATCACTCAGCCCCGAGGGCCGCTCGCAGCCTTCTCCTCAGCCCTCGCGGGGCTGCACGCACAGGAGAACGCGGCAGCTGCAGGGAGGGCCGGGAGGCCTGTTTCTGTGGACCAGGGTAGGGAGAAAGGGCCTCGAGGTGCTGGCGCTCCGCGGAGTCTGCACCACCGCAAACGACGCCGCCGCCGCCGCCGTCGCCGCTTCTACCCACTCCTCACTCCGAATGGCAACTAATTCGCCCCAGCCGCACCCCGCCCCCGGCACCGCCTCCCGGCGCTCGGGACCCAGCAGGGGCCGTAGCGAGCCTTTCCATTGGCTTAGTCCCTCCCCACCAAAACTCGAATGATTGGTTCTGGAGTAGGAGTGACAGGAGCAATATCCAATGAAAATGGTACCTCCTACTTTGAAGGCGGGCGTGAGGGGTGGCAGCGTGAGGAGGGGGCCGTGCGCGCAGGAAGGAGCGTAAAAGTTGACAGCCTTGCGGTAATAACCACACCAGGGAAGGGGTACTGTGTGTGTCCTGCGCGTGTCCCGACACCCCTAGACACGCACACGCCCCGCTAGGCAGGCTGCAGGGCTTCACCCTCCTGGACCGTCTGTACGACTTGAGACAGAGGACACGTGAGGCAAACTTTAACTTGCAAGTACACCTGCAACCGGTGGGATGTTTTAGAGTCAGAACCAGAAGACTGGATCCCTTCCCCTTAATTTTAGTAAGCTGAGTTTTCGTGACCAGGAGCCTTATTAATCAAAAGAACCTCTGGTGATCAGGAGAAATGTCTGGAACCTGGATTGAAGAAAGTAAAACATTTTTACAGCCTAACGTTTGTAGTTATGCAGTGAAAAGAGATTATCAAATTCTATGTTCCAAGACAATAACTCTGGATAGCTGGGGTCAATAAGGAATTTTACGTCATTACACTATCAGTTAGATACATTAATGAAGGGCGCCCCGGTTGCCTTTTCCGAAGCAGATAGCTTCTTGAGAGGAGTAAAAACCAGATGTAACGTAATAATCCATTGTAGTCAATTTGTTTTTTATTCTGCAATGAAACTGAAAGGACACAAAGATTTTGGATGACCATCAAAAACCTAAATTTAACCCACAGTAAGCTAAAGTTTTAAACCTTAATCAGGAGCAATTAATGTTAGGATCTTCATCGAATAATTTTCAAGAGGTTAAAAGAGAAGAGGAATGTCAGACTGGTCTACTGGTAGTGTCTGCCCACACTGACAAGCTTCCTCTGATTTCAGGCACTATATGCAAAGGTCACTTGCACTTACAGGAGCCATCCTTCTTTGCTTCCTTGAGTGTTCAGACCAGAAAGCATACTAGGTTCTGTAAAAAACTGATGAAACCCAATAAAAATATAAAAATTTCATGCTGTACTTCATCCCAGTAAAACTAGTGATAGTTCTTCACTTTACTACATATTAGAATAATGGCTAACATTTATTCACCATGTGCCAGCCGCTATTCTAAGAAAATTATGTGTGTTACTTCATTCAGTCCTCATATAATCCACAAGGTAGATACTATTATTATCCTTACTGTGGTCTCAGTTGAGGCATAAATAATCTGTCTTGCCTGAGATCACTCAGTTAGTATATGGGGAGCTAAAAATTTCACCCAGACTGGCTCAAGAGTCTGAGGAAGCCCTCTGTTGTAGTGCCTAACAACTCAAAGCTGTGGGGTACATAATTTGTATTTACAATGGCCCACAAATCTCATCTGTGAGATAAGTTCCCGTTCAAAAGAACGGGAAATTCAGTTCAAAAGAAATTTTACAAATGGAATTAGACCACTACTTTTTTTGTTGTTTTCTGGAATAACATATATTTTAATTATGAATAGGGTAAAAACTTTACTCTTTCAAATTTTATATAATTGGTCTATCTCATTAATTTAAAAACTGCATTATTTTGTATGTAAAAAGAATGATAAATGATTTCTTTCCAATGACTTTTTCAGAATAGCAAGAGCAAAAAATCTGTCAGATTAAAAATATGTAAAGTTGGCCAAGTGCGGTGGCTCATGCCTGTAATCCCAGCACCTTGGGAGGCCAAGGCAGACAGATCACTTGAGCTCAGGATTTTGAAACCATCCTGGGCAACATGGCAAAACCCCATTTCTACTAAAAATACAAAAAAAAAAAAAAAATAAAAAAAAACTAGCGGGGAGTGGTGGGAGGCTGAGGTGGGAGGATCACCTGAGCCCAAAGGGCCAGGAGGTCAAGGCTACAGTGAGCCATGATCATACCACTGCACTCCAGCTCGGGTGACAGAATGACACCCTATCTCAAAAAAAAAAGAAAAGAAAAGAAAAGAAAATTAAGGTTTTTCTTTTATATGCTGGTAAATTCTAAGTTGTTGCTTTGATTATAGCATAGGTGCATTATAGAAATGTCATCTCTAGCTACTCCTAAATATATTTATGGGACAACCTCAACACATCAGGTTATAATAATTCTAAATTTATACTAGGTCACTATCACAATGATCAATGCCTACTTTAAATTTAAAATAACATATCTAGTGATAGTTTAAGGACTTTCTGTGTTTGTTCAAATCTACCACAGCTGACTTATACATCTAAAGCAAATCTAAATAACCTGCACAGAGAAACAGAATTAGTATGATCTTAAAATACTATTTTCAGTTACTGGTAAGTCATCATGACCAATGGAGTCGTTCAGTCACTTCTCTTTGCTATAGAAACCTTGATTGTCTCAAACCTTTATTCTCATGAAGTAATTACTGATCTTCATATTTAAGGAATACAGACTTCAAACAAATCAAAGGTGGCCTAAAATAAATTAAACTCAGTGCTTGCTTTCAAATGTCCATTTGTTGAGTTCTTGATAATATTTTATTCTTATTGAGGATGACAGTAGGCTCCAAGGGTATATAGAAGCTTTAGGAAAATGTTCTTAGTAAATTGGAAACCCCTTAGAATAAGATGTCTATTGCTGGGCTGGAGAGCATTGTTATGCTACTATGCTAGCTATGGGGTAGTTAGGCCTAGTGAAGATTTTCCATATTGGTTGAATGTAAGTATAACAATCTCTGAAAATCCTATATAAGGCTTAATGTTAGCAATGACTTCATTACTATGTTGTCCTGTGTAAAGAAGACAAAATTGAAGGCACAATTTGGTGGCATGAGAAATACCTCTGTTTCAGTAGCCCCATGCTGTGGCTATCTGTGGGGCAAGGATCTACCGTTAGCTAATCTGAGATAAAATTCTGTTATTCTTACTTCTTAGTGCAAATATGGTAATGGACTACATTTTAGGTTAAATTAAAACTTGGAATCATTGGCTACATATTTATATGCAGCCACGTGTGGAGAGATCACGAGATGAAGACAGCACAGAGCCCACAGAGCTACCAAAACCTTCCTCTTCTAGCTCCATCTGGGTTTGCCTGGCTGAGCATCCAAGGCCCACCCAAATCTGAGAGGCAGTTCAGGCTGTCAGTATTTGCAATGAGGTCATGGCTGGGAAAGAACACTAAACAGATCTGCACTGATTTTCATCTTAAGCTGATTAAACTCTCTTGTAAATTGATTCCTAATAGCAACAACAAAAAAAGCCTTGCCTGAATTTTTGTCCCTGGCAGATGCTTAAATTAAACTCCTTACTGCTTGTGACAGCCTACGTGCACCTTTGCACTAGGTGTTCCCTCTGCCTGAAAGTTTCTTGCCCCAAATATCCACATGGCTTGCTCACTCATTTCCATCAGGTCTTTACTCAAATGTCACCACCTTTATGATGAGAGCTTTCCTGAACACTTGTTTAAGAATTCTAAGCACCCCTAGGCTTTTCCTGCTCTTTATCCTACTCTTTTTCAAGAGTACCTATCACCATCCAAAACATGATTTGTTAAAATTATTTGTTTTGTCTGTCTAGAATAGAACAGCCATGAAGTGAAGACTTATTAGTTTTATAATTGCTGAATCTCCAAAAGGTGCTTAGTATATGGTAGATGATCAATAAATATTTGTTTAATGTTGTTAAGAGTGGCAAATTTTATGTTTATCTTATGAACTAAAACTTGTGCTTTTCCTCAGGAAAAAAAAAAATCTAACAGGTGTATCTGCTACAAAAGCAGTCACCGGGTAGAAAAATACCTGATGTGACTACTGTAAACCACACAGATATCTGTATTGAAGCTGGCATTCAAAAAGAAAGCATACCTTGTATTATGGTTGTTAGTACTACTGGTTCCTGGAAGCTCATCAGAGGCTGAAAATGGAAAATGGGGGCCAAGCGTAGTCCCAACTACTCGCAAGGCGGAAGCAGAGGGCCACTTGAGCCCAGGAGTTTGAGATTATAGTGAGCTATGATCGTGCCACTGCACTCCAGCCTGGGTGACAGAGTGGGACCTTATCTCCCCCAAAAAAGGAAAATATAATTGGCAATGGAGAAAAGGCAGTTGAAAAAAAAAAGGACAACTGAAAAAAACAGAGAAAGCCGAAGAGGATCACTTAAGGAGTGACATCTGCTGATTGGTATTTAGTTCTGTCTCACTATTAAGAAGAGCTATTCTCAAGAGGCCTGTGTAAAGGAACTGAAAATGAATGATAATTAAGTAGACAAGACTATTATATGTAAATAACAAAAACTTTGTTTCTAAAAGAGGTTCAGAAGAAGCAATAGTAAGAGGTATTTTATTTTTAACTGGTAAGGTCACCCAGAATAAATGTACAGTTATTTCTACAAGGATAGAAAACAGTAATGAAAACCACTGGTTTTTCAGTTTTCATCTCCACAGTAGCTCCAGTTGCCAAGTATGGTGCCAGTGGCACATCTTGTGTGTCTTAAGCTGAAGCATAAGACTCTCGCCATTTAAGTAAAAGACTGTATTGTATAAAGCCAGCACGTTCACAGGTCAAACTTGGAGGCCAAAGAACTATAAATATTCTCTTTCCATGCTGTGACATTCTATTTGTTTTAGTCCCAAACAGAGTGTTCATAAGACATGAAAGCAGTAGTAGTCCTATGAAGGGAATATGTTTGATTATCATGGTGTTATTTTTTTAAATGAGAGTTTAAAGTCATTAAAGTATGTCATAGGTTTCTTCCTATGTGGCTGAATCTTATTTTTTGCCACATGAATAGGTGTGTTGAGGGACTGTTGTTAGGGTGCCATCAACTCATCGATAGTGCTTGACTAGAGAAGTTTCTTTTTATTATTTTAAACTTTTTGAAACATACAATTTTCAGAGTGCCCTACTCAGCATCTTATTGAAAAGGTCCATATTAATGCCCCTAATAAGCCTAAATGGGAGCTTAGTAGCAACAATACTGCATCAAGCCATAGCAACTCCTTATCAGTTTACTTATTGAATGTTTTTGAAGTGTCAGACACTATTCTACACTCTGTAGGGTTTACCTCTTCTCACACTTTGGTAAATAGGGATAAAAAGATATGCCGACAAAGCTAAAGCCATATCTATAGATTTGCCTTACATAAAAGGGATGTAAATAGGGTACTATGGAAATGATGGAAGGGAAATCTCATTTGAGAAAAGGCTTCAGGAAATATAGTATGAAGAAGTCATGTAGTTAGGAATGCACAGAACCAGGCAGAAGATGATTGAAGAGTCTGATGGTTTGGCTGATGGTTAATGGAAGGTAAGTCTTGGTCTGTTGATGACAGTTCATGGAGGCCCTTGGTTGTAAGGCAAGGCTTGCACGTTATTGGATATGCAGTGAGGAGCTGATGAAGATTCTTCAATGGGTGGGGAGAACATGAGTGGAGCTGTGCTTTATGAAGATTAATGAAAGAATAGTTTACAACATGATGGTTGGAATTAGAGACTGATGGTTGGAAGATGATGTAGGAGGCTGGAGAATACTCCATATTAGTTTAGGTGACATGAGTTAGGGAATGATGGAGGACAGCAGAGGGGAATACAGTGCAAGTCATGCTCCTTCTCAGCTGAAGACCATGTGGACTTTGAAAGGAAAACTCCAGTTTTGAAGATTCAAGCTTGGATGCCTGAGAAGATAGTCATGGCTTTAACACAAACAAGGCAGCTAAGGGAAGGAGGAGGTTTGGTGAAAAGATAATGAGTTCAGCTATAAATAAAAGAACCAGAGAATATTCAAATGGAGGCAGCTTTTAAATGACAATGAAGTTGAGAAGACAAGAGATACAGATTTGGGGGTTATCCATGTCCATATGGTAGTTGAAGCCATGGGCACAAATGAACTTGGCAAAGGTAAAAAGCATAGAAATAAAGAAAAAGACGGTGAAAGACAAAATTTATACATGAGCCATGGAGGGAAAAGTAAAAACAAACAAATAAAAAAAAAAAAAAAAAAAAGAAACC